TCGATATATCGTTTGTTAGTTAGGTTAGGTTAACCTTACCTAACTAACCAAACGATATATCGAATGAAGCAATCGATTAATCGATCGATATTTTCATTCGAATGAGTGTAGGACGTCAAGTAAAGTGCAGCCTTTATTTATAAACGTGAGGTAAAAATAAAATAAATCTTAAACCTAGCTGCGAATTTCTGCCAGTAAGCCTAGCCTACAATAAGTGAGAAAAGACATGGATAAAATTTTATAACCAGGCTCAGTATTAGGGTCTAGTAAGTCAACCATACCAATTTTAGAAAATGCAAAAACTTTTAGATTTATCGTAAGAATCTCATACACACATAAGCGAGGGTGGTAATGAAATTAACTCACAATCACCATTCACCAGCAGGTAACAAACAAACAGACGAGACGACCATGCTCAATCGATCGATCAATACAATAAATAACGAAACAAAAACAATAATAAAAAAAAATATTCGGGGACATGTTCTTCTTCTTCATCTCTTGTTCCTTATAAAAAGCTGTCTTGAATAAATACCATGTAACTCCACCGGTGGGGCACACGGAAGATTTCTCAGGTGCCGTTTGACGTCACTAACTGCTGCGTCTGAAGAAACAGACAATTTTATAATTTCCTATTATTAAATTAAACTGTCATAACCTAACCAAACTAACCAAACGTGCTGATAATGGAAAAATCAAATAAAGGTTTACTAATCTAAAAAATAGTTTTGTTCATAAAATAAAATTATAATTGCCTAAAATTCAATTTTATAATTTTTAATTATAAAATTAAACTGTCATAACCTAACCAAACCAACCAAACTTGCTGATATGAAAAAATTGTTGATAAAAAGTTAGTGCTGCCGACGGGATTCGAACCCGGAACATTCGGATTATCAGCTCGTAACGCTATCCACTGCACCACCGAGGCCGATGGCTCAATTCCGTATCGTTGCGGTATTGGTGTTTCCTCAAAGTGACGTCAACAGTTAGTGACGTCAAACGGCACCTGAGAAATCTTCCGTGTGCCGTTTCGGTAACTCCACTATGTCAAGTTGTCTGTAGTATAAATTATACTGTACAATTAGACATTCCACCCCCCATGTTAAACTTTTAGCCAGTTTTTTTTTTAACCAAAATCGTCATAGTTGATGTGAGCCACCAACAGATTGTGCTGATCTAAATTACTGATTTCTGCCGAATACACAATATTCTTTACCAATTAAAACTAATAGAATGAGTTATTGTGAGCTATAGCATAGACTAACCAACACAAGTAAACTACTCATCCCATTGTAAATTTTGAAGCTCGTTTTTCATGTCTAGTTCATGTACGCCACACTGGGCGCTAGTGTTGGCGAAATTTTGTTTCTATTATTTTAGGGTAAATTTCTTGATTTGTGCTTTACTGTTTGGTTAAATAACTAGGGGACAAATTTATTGTTTATGATTAGATCGTATTATTTGGTTAAACGAGGTTTTAAATGACTGTATTAACAGGAAACAAATTGTAAACAAAACACGACCTCTACATAAACCGTACAGAACTAACAATAAAATTGTCTGTGACTGGCTCACACAACTACGTTCTTTTTTAACAAAAAATTGGCTACAGCTGGTCCATATAGATGGGATGTTGAAATATACCCCCGCCGCAGCAAACCTTCAGACTAAGCGAATTTCCATTCGCCTGATTTGATTTACACAAAAATGTCTCCTTAAAAATATCACATTTATTCCCTAAATAGAATCAGTTTAACACATACTTAGGTTTGCTGCAACAGGGAGGGTAAAAGTGTTTTTTTGTGTAAAATGTTAATAGTTAGTAAGAAATAAAAACATTTCCAAATTTGGGCAAAATATGTTAATAAACAAGCAAACTACAACAGTTTACTTATTCTCCATAAGAATAACATGGGAATTTTAAATTTACAATTTTTTGGAATTTTCTCCGTAATGATTAGGCGCATTGTAATGATTCAATATACTAAATTATTTGTTTTTTAAGCTCTACAAAATAGTTTGGAAAGAAATTGCAAAATTTTATTTTATTTTTTTTTTGCTAAAAATGGGAAAACCCCATTTTTACCCCATAAAAGCCTCCATAAACCCCCGTTCCCATGGTCCGATCATGCTGGTTCGCGAACTCGTTCGACTAAACGTAGGTTTACACGTTTGTACCATATTTAATCAAAATGGGACCATTTTTGCTCGAGTTAGGGATGGGGTTTTTGGCCTCTAGGGACCTCAAAACGAAAAAAAGTCGGTCCCGGGTCCAGGTCTTACCATGGAGTACTACGGTAATAGCTTATTCCGATTCCCTATATGGGAAATTCGCTAAAATTTCACTAGTCTTCTTGAGGTGTCGTGTTAGGTAACGTTATTTTTATTTTTATATATACATATAAACTTAGAATAATGCTGCAAACGTCAGCTACACCAACTATTTTGAACATTATTGCCACCATTTATTGCCAACATTAGTCCTTCCACGACATTGGTCCATAAATCCGACAGAAGTCTTCGTTATGAGATATGAATACACATCAACACATAAAGTTCACACATTTTTAACACAAAAGACATTTTAGCGACATATAGGGAATAAGCTATTACCGTAGTACTCATGGTAAGACCTGGACCCGAGACCGATCTAATTTTTCATTTTGAGGTCCCTAGAGGCCAAAAACACAATCCGTTCAAATTCATATATATATATATATATATATATATATATATATATATGTGTGTGTGTGTGTGTGTGTGTGTGTCCGTTAGCGCGATAACTCGAGCAAAAATGATTCGATTTTGATGAAATTTGGTACAAACGTGTAAACCTACGTTTATTTGAACGAGTTCGCGATCCAGCCTAATCGGACCATGGGAACGGGGGATTATGGGGGGTTTTATGGGGTAAAAATGGGTTTTTCCCATTTTTGAACCTAAAAACAAAAAATTTTGCGATTTCTTTCTAAAACGTTTTGTAGAGCTTAAAAAAAGAAATAATTTAGTATATTGAAGCGCTGTTGTATGCCTAACGGTCACGGAGAAAATTCAAAAATAGTGTAATTAAAAATTCCCATGTTATTCTTATGGAGAAAATGAAAATTGTTGTAGTTTACTTGTTTATGGGTATATATTGATAAAATTTGGCCAATTTATTTATTTCATCCTAGATACTATTGATGTATGGTCAAAAAACACTTTTTACCTTCCTCGTAGCAGCAAACCTTTAAGCACTTGTTAAATCTAATGTTATTTAAATAGGGAATAATATGTCTTATTTATTGAAATATTTTAGTAAAAATGTAATCAGACAAGTTGAAATTCGCTTAGTCTGCAGGTTTGCTGCGGCGGGGGTATTATTATGGTAGCCGGTCATATTTATAAGGGACATACTGATGCAGGTAGCACTGCGGACACGACGGAACTCAAATATATATGTTGATTCAGTCGGCATCGGACCTTCATAATTAGAAATCTTCTTTAATTCGAATTATTCCCCTGGTCCCTAATATTTTATATTCAATTAATACTAAATAATCCAGGTAAATTCGAATTATATTTGGGGTAATTCGAAGTTTCTACGCAAAAAAAGACAAATGCCTCACGTGTTTGTGTGTCGGCCAAGTCCGTCTGGAATTCTCAACCGAATTCTCACTGACTTGTCCCGCGGTCTGACACACGATCCGGTTGGAGAAGCTGGATGAGTCGACAGACATGTCTGCCGACATGTCGGACCGTGTGTGAAGGGTTAATGTCCATAAAACAACTGAGGTAAGGCGAACTGTCAGTACGCAGACAGACTGTTGAGTCCATGCACGATCCGACATGTCGGACGTGTCGGCCAAGTTTGCTTGAAATTCTCGACCGACATGTCCGACTGTCTCCGGACCCTGTCCGTTTACCCACACACGGTCTGACGCGGTCGGAGTCGGATGAGTTGTCTACCGAATGGGGGGCTTACGTATCCACACGCTCTAAGCTTAATTTTTATGTCCCATATGCCTATATTTTATATTTGGGAAAAGTCCTTAAAAGATTACCACAAATTTGACTGTATCCTTTTTAATCAAACAGATAGGAGGCTTGCCCATTTATTTAGATTGATTGGCCATTTATTTAGATTGATTAACTGACTTATAAAATTGTCAGCTGATCGATAAGTACAGTATCGTAACTCTATTAGGGAGTACTCTATTTGACCTAATTATGGCAATGAACGAGAAATCTAATTAAAGTATACAAACTAAATACTTGTATTAATTGTCTGTCCATATATAATTACCTAATCTAGCCTGTCAGAGGTGTGGTTTCCACCACAAATCACACCCAAGGTCCAAACCAGCAGATGGTAAAGTCCCCCGGGCTTTCCGAGGACGCAGAACTACTTTAATTGCGTATTTAGTCCTTGGGATCCGTTTATGTAGATGAATCATGGCTGAGATTGTTGTTAATGCGTCCTTTGTGGTTAGTTTCAACCACTGCTCTTTCAAAACGTATCTAATAAAACCGTACATACTAAGTGTTACAGTAAATGGCCGATAATTTACTAACACCATAGATAAAAGGAGTATAGACATGTGTGAGTATAGATGTCTATACTCCTTTTATCTATGCTAACACTACGAAAGATCTTATTGTATTTAAAGAAATCTAGGTACCGGTAGTTAAATATTTTCGGAATTCTTGAAATATTATTAACAAGCTATAATTTACTTCATTCTATACTCAAATTCAATCGCATTGACAGGATGTACTATTGCTCATAATCCAGTGTAAAAAGCAAATCTCAAAGTCTATAAACAACACAACAATAGTCTTGAGGTAATTTCCCAGGGAAAATATACAAAAGCAGACCACGTATAGATTCCCGTGTAACCACAGCGCGACCCGACGCGCAACCTTATACATGCTAAAAAATTTTCAAACAATTGGTTGCTGACTACAAAAAAACCCTTGTTTTATACATAAAAGTATTTATAGAACTCAGCGTTTACCCTCAGTTTGAGCTGCTGCTGCCGCATAATAAGCTCTATCTGCTGGTTCCACGCAGGACTCGGGTTCACTAAACAGACAAAAGCCAATAACATAGTGAGTTAAAATCTTACTGTATAACTAAAATCATGTGTAATATGATTTTTACTGTGTCTTACAACTGTGGATAAATTAAGTTAAATATCCTCATATTCACGGTTCATCCAAAAGGCAACAGCAATTCGACTGCAGGCTAACTAGGCAACCAGCTAAATGGGACAAAACAGCATGGTGATGAAGACCACGTCAATTATCAATCAATTATCAATCATTGAGACCTAGGTGTCTATTATAACCCAAATATGAGTGAAGGATGAGTGTAGAATGGTGTGTAGCTTTGTTACTGACTAAGATCAGTGGTTTCATTAGTCAGGATAATTTATTCAAAGCCCAATGATCAGGAACAGCAGGGTCCAGTTTCGAACCATCAAAAAGCTACGGTACTGACTTTTCTCAGGATCGAATAGGCATGTTGAGTCTGTGGCTCAGTCAGTAACGTGACGGACTTTGAATCTATGACAGGCATGTTGTGGGTACCTTACATGATACTATAAATGAAATTGATATAATATTCATCATAATTAATGTTTGTGTTTGTTGCTGAACGAAATGATGTTTTATTAGGTATAGACTGTATAGTTTAATATTAATGTTATTATGTCAGGACCAGGGAGTCAGTTTTATTGCATGGTAAACTTTTCATTGCTACCTGTATTTTTGCAACCTTAACCTGACAAGTAAAGTTTGGATTTAGGTTTCAATAACTTACTAGAGCAAACATTCCTTAATAGAGACAAAAGTCAAACTAAATTTACATGCTCTGTCGCTCTATGTTATTGAATTGGCTTTTATTTTCAATGAAGGTGAAGTGAAATGTAGAATACTGAATTCTTAAATGTATGGATTTTTGAATTCACAAATCAAAATATTTATCCAGGAACTCACCCGACGTTCCCTGTGGCCCGGCAGGTGGCATAAAGCCTCTCTTCTTGTCGTTCTCATAGTCTTCCCATGCAGCCTTGCGCTCCTCCACGTTGAGTTCTTCTTCAACGACGTTCTGCAACAAAGAGTCGTGTTCATGGCATTTCTCTATCCACTTTTTCATCTATTCAGCAGAAGAAACATCGTTTTCATCCACTTGTATACAAAAAACCAATTAGACTGATTTACAAAATATTAAATTCTTCATCAACCCTTAATGTTACCCAGAATATTTCCTGTCCTCATTATTTGAGTACAATTCCTGGTTTTCTGAATAGCTGGACATCCTGTGACACACACACGGCAATTTGACAGCAAGGTGCAGAGGAAAAAGGGGTGAAACTTAAAGAAGAGAGGGGAAGTGTACTTACAATAAGGCATAATTCCATTGGAATAGAAACGTACCAATGTAGCTAAATGTTCTAGTCAAAATTTGAACATCATTGGATTAAGAGCAGCATTGGTACTAGATCAACATTGATACTAGAACGTCACTCTACCGAGAGTGACATTAGTACGAGAACAAAATCAGAATAAAAATGACACCGGTACAAGAACGACATTGGTCGAGAATATTGTTGGAACAAGAAAGACAACGGTACAAGAACGACATCTTTATGAGGACGACATCGGAATGAGGGACATTTAGTTCAAAATGGAGGAACAGTTCTTAATGGTTCTGGGGTTGCAATGGAAGGTGTTTGACGTTAAATCTCCGTCATGAGTGGGTCACGGGGCAAGGCGGGGGTAGGTCTGTCCTCTAACTTGGAGGCGGTTATATATTACTTCATCCATGGTAATATATAACTAGTGTACATGTTGCTCGAATTTGAGCAATTGCAAAGTATCACAGGAGATTTTTCAAACGAATAACAGTCACAATTTCCGACGAGTGTAAAAGAGTCAACTCAAAGATGTAACTAATGGAAATACTCACGATGTCCATATCAGTTTGATATAAATCAACACCTTTTGTAAATATTTTATCTTAATTTTCATAAGCTGATCTTGTTTTTAGTGTTTTCTACAAATGTTTCCTGACTTACTCATGACCGCATGAGGTTGTTCATGTATCTTCACATTGATAATATATCCTGGTACCAACATTGTCACCAGTACGTATACAAATTTCAGTCTTTTTTATAGCGATAAAATTTGTTCACAATACTTAAGAACTACCTGATTTGTTACATAACCTGCCTGTAACATTTTTATTTTCTTCAACTGACATTCTTTTGGTTAGTTGCTGTAATAACGTCAATTGTATTTACCTGAGAAAATGCAGAGTTAAAATGTTTGATGTTGTTCAGATGTTTTTTTTGTTTCCCTATATCTGTGAATAATATTTGAATCCGTCAATGTTAGTTTTAGTGAAGGTTTCTTGGATGTAGTAATATTCTTCTAAAATCACTTGACTTTTATGGTAACATCAATTTCCTTGCCGTACCAGTTTTATTAAGCCTTATCACAAAGTTAAGTCCATGTTTCCTACTAAAAATAGTAGCACTTTGGCTAACATCCTCGTTAATCGATTGTAGGAATAATCAAATAAAAAAAATAGCTCTATTTCTTTTATTTGGTGGCTTTCTATGTTACCATAGTTTACAAATCGGCTCTTTCAATAATTGCTCAAGAAATACATTAACTGTGTCAAATCATGTTTCTTATTTGGTGAAATATATCAAATTATCCAGGCTTTCTCACTCTTTCCCATTGTAATATGTAGGGGCCTACGTAAACAAAAATTCAAATAGGAATTATTTAGTTTTAACCAAGTCAGTAAATTTTAAAGTTTTTAGCACCCGTTGGTTCCTGCAACTAAAATATTAACAGCAATTAAAATGTCCAGCTGATCATAATATAAACAAATAGGTTCTTCATAAGGATAACATGGAAAATTTAAAAGGCACTGGGGAAGAGCCCAAGGAACTTTACAAATATGCAAGGTCAGTTTGCAAATCTACGCGACACGCTCTTTCCAATGAGACGTGAAGAGTCAAAATCGGTTAAGAATGGCGGAGGAGTTCAGGTTCAAAGATATCTATCTTCTATATAAATAAAATTAGAGTTTTGTCTGTACATTGCTCAGAATCACAAACCTTTAGGTTATTTTTACGTTTTATACATTAAAGAAGCCAAAACAAGTCTCATCTAAATTTCTGTCTGTCTGTCTGTCTGTCTGCAACACTCAAGATGGCATTTTACGCAATCTTCTCCAGGAAAACGAGAGTACCTATCAAGATACAAGTCATTTTAATGTATTTACTGGATTGGTGAGAGTATCTTTAGCGATTAAAATATGGTCTCACTACTTTGTAAATAAAATTACGGACGTTCAAAAATGCAGTTTTGTGTGATTTTTTTAAAGTTTTCGTCCAATTTTTATCACATAATCATCTATGAAATAACGAACAGCTGTTCGGATCAAGATTATTTTTTCTAGCTGTCACTGATATGTTTACAAATGTTGTTTACAAATACCGCAACCATTTTCGATCACGTTTTGAAAGCAAATCTCAACGAAGTGAGATTAAAAACGTTTTTCTTACATAACGGATTTAATTAATCGCAAGTTCAATAATATGGTGTAATAGTATAACCGTAAATGAAATTAATTAACTAGGTATCATCCAGGTCAGGAACCAGAAATTCTTTAGTGTATGAAATTGTTCTTGAGTTTTGATAACAAGAAAGAAGACCTTGAATCAGTGTTGTATACGGGTGGGAAACTTAAATTTAATAATGATCGTCGCCAATAGCTTAGAAACAAGATTTCCACTCAGTGACGGCGCTTCAATGGCGGTTGTGTAAAGTGTAAAGTAAAAAAATCACAACTGCTGTAGGTGATTGTAACAGAGGTTTACGGATAATGCTAAACTCGGTTTCCAATGTGTAACTTTCTGTTCTTAACATTGACTATATAGTCAATAGTTTCTACTCACCGTGTGATGCAATCGCTGGACCATACAGCCAATAGGCAAATAGCCTATCTCTTGGGTACGTACGCCTAGCCAATTATTCATAACAACATTTTTGACGACGAACCTTGATGCCGGTACTTTTTCCTAGGATACACGGCCTACCTACTTAAGAAATAAAATTACAAACGTCCAAAAACCCAACGTTGTGTGATTTTTATCACAGTCCCTTCTAATGTTAATGGATAGCCTATACCAATCATTGTTTAGAGAATACGTAATCTATTAAATAACAAAACAGTTGTTTGTATAAGGTTGTTTTTTTTTTTCAAACTGACACCGATAAGTTTACATTAAAAGTTATTTATAAATAAAGCAATTTATGGTAAATAACTTTGACTGCCAATAACCTTTTACGAGAAAATCCAAAACCAAGAGATCAATATCCTCGGGACTTGATTAACGAATACAGTTGATCGGATGTACTATAGTTCTTAACTGTAAACGTTGGTTTTTGGTACTGATTTCCCTTAGAACCGTTGGTAGCAGCAAGAATAACATTTACGTACTACAACATCATTGTAATTTACAAATTAGTTAATGTTGGGGTTGCACCTTATTTATTACAGGCGTATTTAATTTAACTGTATAAGTTTTGCTTTTCTGTCTGGATTCCAAAATGTTAGTTTATGCTAAGAAAACGATAGGCTAATGCATTTTAGTAAAACTCAGTAGGTAAACCATCATGAATTGTTTAACGCTTTACGTTGTTTATGCATCAATAGTTCGTGGCCTATTTTGGTAATTTTTATTATAAATTACCAATCTAAATCATCTATAGTACTTCATTTCAAATAGTCATCCGTCATTTTGACAGCATTACGGGTCATCTTCCCCTTCGGTCCAAGCAAATATAAATTGATATGATAAAATTTGATGACATTAACAAAGATTTCAAATACTAATTTTATATGTACTTTGTTATGCTTAAAGCGTAGCAAATTCTCTAATTAAGTTCTGGATTTGTGTGTGTATGTCTGTTGGTAACGCATTAATGTCCTTTATTTCTCAGTGTTTCACGGAAGGGACAAGAGCACCTTGATAATGAAAAATGTCAACCCGAATAAAGTGTTAAATTGTGAAGTTAATGTAGTACCTTATATACTTTTAACCATTGTGGAAAGTAACTTTCAGGCCTACCTTAGGGCTATGCCTCATAGATCTATACGGCATTTTTTTAGTTTAATCATTGGATTTAACATATGGACCAACATGATTCGGGTGACATTTAATTTCGAAGCATTTGTTTTGGCTTGTGCTTGAAACTGTCAGATACTGTATTTGCGAAGGTTTATCTATAATTTTGTTTTGCCAGCATATCTGAAAATATTAAAATCAACTGCTGTTCTTAATATAAGAAGGTTTCAACTGGCTACGATAAGATCCCCGTGCGTAGAACGGGCACACAGCTAGTCTACAGATAAAAACACATTTCAAACACAACTCTTCAACAACGATTTCTAAGTAACAGTTTATCTAAATCGAGAGTAGTTTTCCTAATATCAAAAGTATTACCTCGGCGTAATCTTCACCAGTTGCCAATGACTATGCTTTGTACAAGTTGGGTTTTTTTACTTACGTCAGTCAGGATGTTTCTAGTAAGTCTAATTTATAGTTTCGGCCGGACAAAACGATGAAAAAAACAGTGGTACAATTTACAGCAAAACGTCAAATGATCGGTGGAAACATTGCCTGTAAATACAATACAGTAAAGTAGACATTAAATAAACAGAACGTAGTTCGATTCAATCACAGACATAGTGTGCTTCTGTAAAATGTCGTTTCATTTCTTACCCATTTCATGTTATTGTGAAGGGGCTGGCATTGGTACACAAGGAAACATATTGATCTGCGAGCGCCCAGCAGAACTACACCCCCTTGACACACCCCCACTCAGGGGCGTCACCTTGGGGGGGGGTAGGGGGGGGAGCCTCCCCCCCTAGAATCTGAAAAGAGAAAAGTTGGGAATTTCCTTGCCACGAGTTGGGACAGTTGGGAAGTCAGATACAAGAAAAATATATTTTTAAACTAAACAAAATTTAAATATTTGCGAAAATCCATCAAAGATAAAAATTTCTTTGACTTGGACGAATAAACTTGACGCTTCTTTGATTTCATTTAACTTGGATTAAACAAGGCTAAACACGCATTATTTTAAGAAATCAATAATCAATTAGCGGTATAGCTTGTTGGAATTTCGTTTACGAGAAATTTTGTTCCTTATTGGACGTATGTTGGCTACCTTGATCCTGTCATGTGTTGAGGATTCCGAATGATTCGTCTGCGAGACTGCGAGTTTGAATTTTGAAAGTGCAAGCAATGTAGCTCTTCTGTTCAAATATGTTTTTTGTTAGTATTTACAAGAAATTCAAAAATATTTTTGACGTCAGTCACATGAAATATATTTTATACCTTTTTCGTGGTATTTGGAGCAGGCTAACTGACCAGAGTACTTGCTAATAAGCAGATTAAAATAACATTAAAGATAGGTTTTGTGTATCGGTATTACCTTTAAAACTCTTATTTTTTAATAACCTAAATGGAATATTTATTCTCTGAATGAATTTAAAAATCTACACAAGTTATTTATCATTCCTAGTTAAGGATTTACAAAAATGAATCAACTAATCACTCTTAAACAGATCTACGTGGATAAAACATAACCTAAAATTGATGTTTGACTTTCACTATAAGTTTTATTTTTGTCTAAGTTCTAGTTTGATGAAGATGAAGGTTAACATTTTTATTGTATGTATAAGTTTGTTTATTATCAACCAAGTTGAACGTTTTTATTTTATACGAGTCTTATTTTAGGTTTATTCTTTTCTAGACTAGAATAATATTATTCACAACACTGACATTAAAATTAATATTTCATCATTACAAACTTGTTTAGGCCTTCCCTAGTTGTAAGTTTTATGAAAGTTAAAATGTTGATCTTAACTTCTAAAAGTATTTTAATTTCACTATTTTGCAATAAAATATTTTTTCTATACTAATTTGTACTCTGAGGCTTATTTTATATCCCTACAGTTTTACACTGCTACGTCTGCTACCACAATGGTTTGTAAAGTTTTTTGGATTTGAAACATTATTTGTTCAAGTTTTTTTTTTAGTCATAAAATTTAATTATGAAATGATAGAAGTTTTAGAAATTGAGTAGTTTTGTATATATGGAAAACTAGCTATGTTTTGTTAATGCAAGTTTATAAATACTGAATTGAATGTTACTGCAGTTTAGTGGTATAATAATTTGTAGATTTTTAAAAATAGTACAGAAATTGATTTCTAAAAAAAAAAATAGTTGGGAAATCTATGTTAAGTAGTTGGGAAATTTGAGGCTTCTCCCCCCCCTGGAATTTAACTAAGCAACGCCACTGCCCCCACTAGACCCCCCTACGTCATGTTGACGTCAGAGATCGAGGGGCAAGTTCCAGTCACGGACACTCAAGTTTCGCTGTCAAACTGTTTTAACCTAACCTAACCAACCAAACTGTATGTAACATTTAAAATTCTGTTTGTTATTCCCCACATGCCTTTTTGCCTTTTCAAACGGTATTACTCGAATTAAAATTAATAATTATTATTATGTGTGAAATAAAATTTAATACAATAATAGCAGCACATTTTGCTAGAAAGGGTTGTATTCCAGTCGCGGACACGGCTCCGAAATTCAATCAGATTTCGTGACGTCACGTTTCATCTGGGGGGGGGGTTCCCGGGGGGTAGTATTCCGCATCCCCGTGATCGACAAAGAACCACAGGTGAAACTTACCGCAGTCCTACAGCCGTTGTACAGTAACTTAGCAGCACAATTGTTGTGCAAAATGACATCATAAGCGCCGATAAACTTTGTTATAGAATAAAACTAATCGCATGGACCAGCCAAAAACGGGGTAGCGGATTTTTATTCCCCTGGAATTTTACCCCCTGGGCAAACGTGACGTCACAAACCAGGGGGTAAAATTCCGGCCGCGAACTTTTGTGTTTCGCGACATCAGCTCGATGGATTAATCGCGGAATTAAACATATATTTTCACGGTTGTGAGTTTAATCAGAACACATCAAATTATAAAAACCTAGAATGTACGGCCCGGATTTATACCCCCGGAATTTTACCCCCCGGATTTTTACCCCCGGAATTTTACCCCCTGGTCAGATATAAATTAGTGAGAATGATTAATTATCGTCATTCAGTTTTAATTTAATGGTAAACATTTTATTATTAAGTAGCCTATCTTAATTTTATGTGTAACATTAACTAATCGAACAGGGTTTTAATATTAATTTTGAGATTCGAGTGTCAGGATTCGATCTTTGAAGCCAACTGTTGGTCAATATGATCAAAATAAAACAGCGAATTCTGTTTACTTAGTTGACATTACAAAATAAATAAATAAAGATAGGCTACTAAATAATGAAATGTTTACAATTAATTAAAAACAGAAATAAGAAAATCAATCATTCAATTTCTAAAATCAGCCAGGGGGTAACATTCCGGGGGGTAAAATTCCGGGGGTAAAAATCCGGGGGGTAAAAATCCGGGGGTAAAATTCCGGGGGTAAAAATCCGGCCCGTACATCTTCAGTTGCCTAAACGCTAGTTATATGGACAGGGGGTAAAATTCCGGTTTTTATCGCTAATCTAATTAATCACGCTCCGACTATTTTCATTAGACTTCCAAATCCGCGGGGGTAAAATTCCGGCCGTGAACAAACTTTTGGCCACTCAGGTTACTACGTCATAGTGACGTCAGCTTTGCCCAGGGGGTAAAATTCCAGGGGGATAAAATTCCGGCGACCCCCAAAAACAATGTATAGGTGTGTTTCTGTTCGGAAGGTTGTAACTATTAATTAATAGCTTATAGTTTTTAGTTTAAGTTGTTTAAATGATTACTACGAGTAATTAGTTCTAGTTAATTGTGCTAGTTAAAAACAAAATACTAGTTGTTCTGTTCTGTTGGTAACGGCGTACAAGAAAAGAGCAGGTCTTTAAAATGTGTAAACAACGGTTACACTCACTAGAGAATAGTAATATTAAGGGACTATGTTTTATCTGTGGTAATAGTAACATATAGTAACAGAGAATCAATTGATTTACTCAGGAAAAAGTAAACAAACAAAATATAAATAACTAGCAGCCATACCCGTGCCCTGCAACGGGGTCAGTATGCATAAGAGACAATGTTGGTTCTTTGAAAATGCCTTAAAAATGGTTTCACTCTTACCATTTAATTAAACAACTAAATTGAACTGTATTACTTCAACCTTAACTGTATATAGGTTGGGTATAACTGTATAACTGTAGGGTATATCGATCATGTAAACTTGTAAGAACGTAAAAAAAAATTTATTTTGTAAAGGTGAATTGTCTAACTAAACGTAAAACCACATATATTCCTGATGTAGGGACCCATACTTAAATCAACGATGCACTTACTATGCAGAATTAACTGTTTAGATGTTTTGTAAGTGGGGTTTTAGAAGGATTCAGCGTGTCGGTTAGTTAATTTAAATGGGGGCGCAAGCAACTGGGGGAATTTAATCACAGACGAGGGAATACTTATTAATTATTGCCTTGTGATATAACTCAAAAATGAAGTGAAGGATGAGTGTAGAATGAAGTAAGATGCCTTGTGTAGCTTTGTTACTGACTTTTCCTTTAGTCTCGACCATCTGCTTAAACCCCAGTAAACAAGCACACTGGGTCTAATAATTTCAAACGACAAAAATTGTCTGACTTTTCTTCCTATCGAACCGACGCGACAACCTTCTCATTGCCATGCGAGCACTAAATCACCCAGATTTAGCGGTGATTATCTATAGCGTTCACTTGCAATCAAAAGGTTATTCCTTGTCATAGGAGGTCACGAATTGTGGATATTTATATGCATGCATTGTGGATGCGATACTCCCTGGTGTGGATTAACGTCCACACGAGCACAGAAAACGTACTACTGTGAGTACTACGACTATCCACAGTACTATCCTGATAATTAGACCAATTCGTTAATTACAAGGCAAAAATGTGGTTTGGATTCCACTATAAACTGAAGGTCCAGTTGCTATTACTGTATGGGCTATTAATTAACAATCTGTGTCTAAGGAATGTCGGCTTTAGTCACTAACAAGACTACAAGATCGCGCCACTCATCCTACACTCATCTCCATTCATACTTGGCTTAAAATACCTACTTTGTATGGTCGCCATTTCATTAAACATTATTAACAGTATTCGCCCCGATTAATAATATCTTCAACAATTTAGCTTTACCGCACAGAATATAAAGGCACCGTGTGGTTATTGGTTATTCTGTGGCAATACACATTTAGTTCAATTCCGATACCCAAGATTCAAAGAATAGTTAAATAGTTGAATAGTTCAAAGAATAGCGTTCAAAGAATAGTTTCTCAACACTCCAAAGTGGTCAAGCCAAAACAAAAACTCAAGAGAAGTAAACAGGAATAATTACTACCTGACACGAATGCTTGGACGAAATAGGAAATAAAGAGACTGTGTAAAGGAATGTAAAGAGTAGAATGGAGAAAGCGTGGCGGATGATAATACAAAGGCTTGTACACAGAGGAAAACAATAATGTGGTGCAAGGCGACATAGAGTAAAGAAACTGTGTAGATAAAGCTTCATAATTAGCTTGCCATGACATTGCAGTGAATATCTTTTAAGCCTTCTTTGGATTAGTGAGCCGTTCATACCGCTTCAATACAAATCTCCAAATCACTACAAAAATAATCAGTGGTGTTAAAAAATTATTTTTCAAACCAAACCGAATTACCACAACCGTTTAATCAACAATGGAATTCAAACAAAGCATTAAACTCTTAGACAAGCATTCTTATTCCTCTCTCCTAGAGGATGTCAAGGCCAACAAAAAGTGATTTGCGTCACTTCCCGTGTTTAATTGATCCTCTGCCCATTTCCCATTTTGATTACCTAGCATTTAAGGGGTTCCCCTCAATTGTACAGCTGATCGTCGAGTGAAGCTGGTTGCATGGTTGCATCACAGTTGCACGCAGAGAGGGAAGTTCTTTGGTCATTCCACAACATGAAGTCTCCCGCGCTGTTCCTACTGGCTACATGCGTCACGGTCGCCGTCGCAGCCAAAATACGTGAGTTAACAAATTAAAGAGTTTAAAGTTTCTCTTCGTTAAATAACTTAAGTTAAGTAACTCAGTAGAGAGTTACATTTAAAGATTTATTTTTATGAATGTATTTCCAAGGAATTTGTGTAAATAGTTTTGGTAGGTGGTAGGCTAATTAAATAGTGTGAGGCGTTCTTAATATTAATTCAAACAACTCATCGTGGACATTCTTTGCTAGCAACTTTATGTTGAAACTTAAAATACGTGTACGCAAAAAAATATGTTAATATTGACATATGGAAAATCTGTGGACACAATATCAAGTTATATGTTACACTATGCCATTTGAATTCAACCATTTTCAATACCTATTGTTTTGTCACTTATTGGATATTTGATAGTTTTGTGTATTACCAAAGGCGTTGTCTAAGTTTAAAATTTAAATTATGATTCTGATTTTGTTTAAAATATTGATAATGTTTGTAATTACAAAATTAAGAACTTAATACCTAATTCAAAAGGCGTTAGTTACTATACATGTTTTGTTTTACTCAATATATTATAAGCAATTGCACACCGAGCACTGGCAGGACTTGAATGCTCAGTAGGCCTACATTGGTAACACAATCAATGGTTGCCAGTGGTTTAGGGGTGTGTAAAAATTGAGTATTTTAGTATTTAGTGTTACCATTTAAAGATCTGGTTCTATGATATTACTATACAGTGAAACCTTTATTACCTTGCTATGCAATGTGTGTAAAACTGAATGTTACAATTCTAGAAAACCCCTCAATGGTGTTTCAACTACGATTTTTTTTATTGCCTCTACGCATATTTTATGGGTTGTAATAAAGTATACCTATCACAAATTTAAATCAATATTTGAAGTATAAATTTTGTTACTAAACAAGTCAACAAGTAGATCACTGCCAGTGAACCAGTTTACCAACCCTACTTTACATACTCGCTCTCATTTCGCCACAACTTGTATGTAGTTGTAAAATATAAATAATTAACTTAGTCTACTTTATTTATTAAAAATAAACCAAAAGCCTATAGACGCAACTGTTAATTGATTTTTAAATTCAGCCCTTGGATACACTTATACTTTTTTTTATATCATGCGTACTGCCCTTTGCTGTTATTTAACTTATTATAAACCCATTACGTCTATATAAATATAAATACTGATTTTCCTCAGTTAATATAGCAAACAGTTAAGTGCAAATCATAAAAATCTACCCAAAAATATTCATCAGCGCATCTCTAAACGCTACCAACACAAAACACAAATAAAAGGGCTTAACAATATCAATGGAATTAGAAGTGTGAACAAATACTCAATTTATTTTTAGAATTTGCTATTTCTGTAATGAATAAACAACAGCTTATTGTGCCTGTTGAGCACAATGGGGGCTTAAATCGTTATGGTCAGAAAAAAAAAACATTCTTGAGAACTTCAGTGATGTTTTCATAAGAATTAGATTGATAATTTGTTATGATAAGCAATGGAGCTCCTTCGAATAAAGATTGATCCATCCAATTTTGATGAATTAGTACAAACGAAGCCTACGTTTAATTGAACGAGTTTGCGAGCTATCATATTATCATGATCAGACCAGAACGGAGTTTTATGGTGTAAAAATTGTGTTCTCTCATTTTTGACCCTCAATACCCAACATTTTCCAATGTCTCTTTAAATAAGTTTTCAAGAACAGCTTAAAAATTCAAATAATTGAGTATATTAAACTGTTTTTGTGCGGTTATTTGTTAATGGTTACAGAGGACAAACATTTAAATTAAAATTCCCATGTTATTCTTATTGAGAATAAGTAAACTATTGTAGTTTGCTTGTTTAGGGACATATTTTGATAAAACTTGGCAAATGTATAGTAAGCTAGTAATTTTACTAAAAACAAACCTTATTAACTTCCCTGTAGCAGTAAAACTATATTCATTAAACCTAATATTATTTGAATAAGTTTAAGTGGAGGCAAATGTAAATTCACTTAGTCTACTCAGGTTTGCTGTGGCGAGGGTTTTTTGTGAGTGTGTGTTCAAGCCTTTGGCATTGTTTAAGTTTTTGCGAACGACCCACAAACATCCTGGTATTGTTACTACCTGGTATTGTCAACCTTTTTGTTAGAGATTAATTATTGCTTGTCCAATGACAAATAACATCTGGCCCAGTAATAATTTTACTTGGAATAGAACCGGCGACCTTCCCAGCTTTTAAATAAAACTGCAAAGGTCCAACTCTTCAGTACTAATTCCAAGCACGAGTAACACACTAAGAAGCGTAAGGTCGGCGTAGAAGATGTCTTAAAACAAGACAATACACAGGGAACAGATGAGGTCATAAGACGACCTCGAAGAACAACAGATAGTAATCAATATTAATGAAGGGGCTTAAAACTGAAAGTACCTCGCCGTTCAAGTAGACGTGAAGAAGACGCCGTACATTGCAGGTGGGAATGGGCACACTTTATCTGATGGAAATGTACAATCGGAATTCCCTTTGCATTGTGGGCTCAGGGGTAACATGAACATTCTGTGGATGCTGAAATAAACATGCATAAGAGGACCTTTAACGTTGAGAATTTCATGGACAGTAACAATTTAATCGAAACTATACAGTTATACTTCGTAACGTTTATTTCCAATCGCCCTTGTTTTGGGATGAATAGAAGAAATGAAGAATTAAGAGAGTGATTTTCAAGATGCTATTATAAAACACTCCATTATAATCGGCTTTGTTTCAATCCCTAAAACCTGACTAGTCTCAAGACTTTATTAAGTTGTAGGTGTTTCCATTTCAATAAGTAAAATTATGAACACCACTTGAGTTTCTGTCCGTAATTCCTGATGTTATACATGTCAAGACAATATTCAAATCACTAAATCACTCAATGATTTATCAATTTCGATAGGTAGATTATTTTTTTTTACAGTGGAACCTGCGAGCGGCTAATTTCATTCTTCTATTTCATTTTTACAGCAGTGTCTTCTACAGCTGGTCAGCTGGTCCTTCTTACTGCACTGGTATCTAAAATCAAAGCTAAGTCCATGCGTTATTCCTATGACAACATGATGTTTTCATAGGATCAGCAACCAAAAATTGCCCTTTTAATTAGCGAATTTCCCTATAGGGAAGTAGCTATTACCGTAGGTCTCATGGTAAGACCTAAGCCCGGGACCGATTTACTTTTTCATTTTGATGTCCCCAGAGGCCAAAAACACCATTCGTTCAAATTTTTATATATCTATATATATATATATATATATATATGTGTGTGTGTGTGTCCATCCGCACGATAACTTGAGTAATTTTTGTCCGATTTTGATAAAATTTGGTTTGAAGGTGTAAGGCAGGATAAACTTGAATGAGTTTGCGAACCAGCATGATCGGACTATGGGAACGGGGGTCTATGGGGGGTTTTATGGGGTAAAAATAGGTTTTTCCCATTTTTGACCCTAAAAACACAAAATTTCACAATTTCTTTCTAAACCATTTTGTAGAGCTTAAAAAAACAAATAATTTAGTATATTGAAGCGTTATTATGCGCCTAATTGTTACGGAGAAAATTCAAAAAAATTGTAATTTTAAAATTCCCATGTTATTCTTATGGAGAATAAGTCAACTGTTGTAGTTTGCTTGTTTATGAACATATTTTGATCAAATTTGGAAAATACCTTAATTTCTTACTAAACCACAGTACCTTTTAACATTTACATTAAAAAAAACTTTTTTACCCTCCCTGTTGCAGCAAACCTAAGTACTCATTAAACGAATTCTGTTTAAATAGTGAATAAATGTGATATTTTTAAGGAGACATTTTAGTTTAAATCCAATCAGGCAAATGGAAATTCGCTAAGTCTGTAGGTTTGCTGCGGCGGGGGTATTAACACAAGACGATGTATGTGAGTGTAAATGAGTGCAACTCTACCAACTGAAAATAATCGTAAATTATGGACCATTAGAAATAAGTACCTGGGGACCAAGCTAGGTTTAGTTTATTTTCATTTTAAAAGCAATGACAAGGAAATTCACGTTTTATTTGCAACTAATTTTTACATTTATTATTTACGTTTCAGTGCAATTTCATTTCATTATGATGGACCTGCATTGTTTTGTGTTGTTGTGTGTGGTTGCATTGTGATGGTTGTAACCTGGCTATGTACAACGCATTAATTTATTTTACAGTCAAAAGTAAAAATCACACATATGAAAAAGTTCGCTAACGTCTCGGTACTTCGGAGATTAAGTTTTGGTAGGAGAGACAAGAACAATAATCAGTATTTGATCTAGGCCTATACTATTTTCCCATATATAGAGTAAAATTCAGTGTAATCTTTGATCAATTAACAACAGATGTTTTTCCCTTGGTAGGCTACTATATTTTTTTAATTTGTTAGTAGACTGTGGATGGATTGTTATAAACGCGTTATAAACGATGTTATAAAATTTATTATAAACATGTTACAAGTATTTTGTTTACTTTTTCCTTGTTATTTTGTTCAACCAACATGGTTACTTGGCAACCCTTGTTAAAAAAGTTGACTTTCAATTTAATTTTTTTTACGTAATTCGATTTTTTGTTAGTTTTAACTGCACACGTTCTTCGTACTCGTTTTCACGTAAACACGTTTTTAGGCCAGATATAAATTATTTACAACATTTGAAGGAAATCTTCGAGGCATTTTTCGAGATCTTTGAGCAAACATACATAAAAGTAAAAATTGCTCATAAAAAAAGTATAGTATATGACGTCTTCAACCATTTAAAAGAACAGGTGTTTAGTTGAGACCTATTACAGTAGATGCTATGTGATACAAGATCTTGATCTGGCAACAAACAAGAGCTCGATACGAAAGTTGCTCCAGTAATACTCAAGACAAGTCTGGCTCCAAGGACAAACTGACACCTCTCTAAGGAACCAACGAAGCTGGTACAGGACCAACGAAAGCTGCCTATACTTTTACAATGATTGTAAACATGAGCTATGGCTATGCTTTATAAACATTTCATTCTCATTTTAAATCTATAGCTATTTTATGAAAATCGATGTAGATGAGTTTGAGCCACCGTCACAGTGTGCTGTTGTCAATTACCGATTTCGGTTGTATTAAATCCATGATGAAAAGATGAAGTTTACCTTGAATTATTTTAGGTTAGGTTCCAACTTTTGGATGTAACCTTTGAAGTAAACACTAAAATCCTATATTACACCATATAAAATATTAATCATTTTAGGGTATAGGTCACATGGCAACGTTGTATCATTGACTATTGGATTGTATTGGAATAGGCATCTTATCTATATTGACCAGCTGTTGTCAATTTTGTCCTAAAAAGAATGTAGTTGTGTGAGCCAGTCAGAGAATTCGCTAGTGTCTAAAACTATATTTTATAGCTTACTAGCTGTACCCGCGGGCTTTGCCCCGTTTTGAAGTTCGTTCGCTACGCTCACTCACCTTTACGGTTGGAGCTCGTTCGCTGCGCTCAATTGCCTTCAGGTTAGCTCGTTCGCTACGCTACCTCGCCTCCGTGTTGAAGTTCGTTCGCTACGCTCACTCACCTTTTGGTTTCAAATTAGCTGTTGTCAAATATTTAAAAAAATAATAGTGCTGCACTCTGTTGGTAATCCTTGAAACTTTAATGCTATTGAATATCATAGAACAGAACCAACTTGTTTAATTGAAACAGCTGTTATGATTCATTAATTCCATTTAAATATGAGTACTCATTAGGTTAACATGGGAAACTCCAGAGCCACTGGGGCGGAGCCCGAGAGTCCGATCAGAATAAAAACCACTTAGTTTTCCTATTTAATGCCTAAAGAATCAGTGTACCAAATTTCAGCCTCCTAGGTAAGTGGGAAGTGGGAGAATTAGTGAGAGTGAGTGAGTGAGTCAGTCAGTCAGTCAGTCAGTGAGGGCTTTGCCTTTTATATATATAGATTTTTGTGCTGACATAGTTGATGGGTCATAACAGTTGCTACATAACAATAAGTAGTTCCATCTGTTAGGTTTGGTAAAAAAACATCGTGTATTCGACAGAAATTGGTAATTTAGATCAGCGCAATCTGTCGGTGGCCATTATAAACTATGACGAATTGGTAGTACGTATTATACGGAGGCCACTTATTTTACAGCGCGCTGCGGCGGTTGGGTTAAGTTGGGTTATCATAAATATGTTTGTAGAACTTTCCTAGTTTCGTTATGAATCGAACTATACGAGATGAGTCATAAAAACTTATGATAACCCAACCTAACCTAACCGACGCAGCGCGCTGTAAAATAAGTGGCCTCCGGCCTCCGTATAATACGTAAGTACCGACGAATTTGACAAAAAAAAACTAGTGGCACCTTTAATGGGGGATTATCTGTATCAATATTTAATAGTTTTAATTTGTAGCTTTGACTATTAATTCAACTAGATTATCAAAATTATCGTAGTTGATATGAGCCACCAACAGATTGTGCTATGTAAATTACTAAATTCTGTTGGTTACTGGAACCTTTTTACCAAGTCAAACCGATAGACCGACTAACTGTGAGCTGTAGCATCTGTTAGACCCATAAGTTATGTTAGCAAGAACAAATAAGGTAGAGAATCTAATTTTAGACACTGGCGTATTCTGTGACTGGCTTAGCACTGAACTACTGGGTTCTTGTTGAAAAAAATGGCGACGGCTAGTCCATATAGATCTACTTCAGTACCTAGTCAATGGTTGAAGTAAGTGACCAAGGAAAGTCGACCAACAAAGTAGTTCCAGTGACCAGCTGACCGAGTTTCGCTGAGTCACCACCACGTCGCGCCGGACATTATGCAGCCATTATACAACACCTTGCGTCCACCGTCGAGGTTACGGCACTTGGTCACTAGAAACCCCTTCCCTATTTCCTAGCTATCATCCAGTCACAACTAGTTGCGTTCTGGGAACTATAGTACTGTAAAACGATAAAATTTAGTCCCGCCACTTTCTTCTTACGAAAGAAGAGAGGTTTTACTAGGAAGTAAGGACACTATTTATAATGGACCAGATACTTTGGATACGTTGTCGATGACAGTCGTTTACCAGTACGAAATTCTCTCATACATTATGGTTGTTAGGTTATTTTAATAAAATCTGAATAAAATTTCTGTTCTTTTTAAATAAATTTATTTGATAACACCAATAAACCATTTTGGGATATTTTGGGATTACTTGCTGGTTGATTTGCCCAAGGCCTAAACTGTTCATCTTGAGCGTTAGCATTAGGTATGTTGGATGTCACCAATTCTTTTACCATAGGTTTTTCTGATCATCTAGATGGTCATCAATCGGCTCATCCCTTGATGGTTCATTTGCCCAAGGCGTAAACTGTTCATCTTGGGCGTTACTATTTGGAATTTTGAATGTACTCACCGACTTGTTGACCCTAGGCTTTGACTGATCATCTAGATGGTTATCAATCGGCTCATCCCTTGATGGTCCATTTGCCCAAGGCGTAAACTGTTCATCTTGGGCGTTACTATTTGGAATTTTGAATGTACTCACCGACTTGTTGACCCTAGGCTTTGGCTGATCATCTAGATGGTCATCAGTCGGTTCATCCCTTGTCCCCAAACTTGCTGGTTCATTTGCCCAAGGCATAAACTGTTCATCTTGAGCGTTCATATTAGGTATTTTGGATGTACTCACCGACTTGTTGACCCTAGGCTTTGGCTGATCATCTAGATGGTCATCAGTCGGTTCATTCCTTACCCTCAAAGTGTTGTACCTCTGTGCTTCATCATCAGGAATCATTTAATTTTCAATACCTTGCATCCATAAGGTAACAGCTTCTTTCGTTGGTATAGGTTGATCAATTGACACGAGAGAACGCCTGGAAGTGCTACTACCTCTTGAGGGCGATCTAGGATTGATTAGTGATAGTCTTTCTTCCATCAGTCTTTTCTTCAATTCTAACTCCTTTCTTTTAGCTTCTTCCTTTACTCTAGCTTCTTCTCTTTTTGCCTCTGCATTAGCTTCTGCACGTGATATTGTGATAGCTGTTTCCTCTTCCTGAATCTTAATGAGTTCATTAATAACATCAGCGACTTCTCTGTTCCTCCTGCTGCTACTTTTACTTTTATTGGATCTTCTATCAGAAGAAGGAAAGGATAGTGCACTTTTTGCAGAGACATCAAGGCCGACTTTTTCAACTTCTTAACTGTCCTTTTTCTCTTCTCTTTTTGTACAGGATCTTGTAGTCATACGAGATGACGGTTCTTTATTTTACATGATTCGACGGGTTTTCGGCACCAAATGTTAGGTAATTTTAATAAAATCTGATGAATAAAATTTCTGTTCTTTTTATTACATTTATTTGATAACACCAATAAACCAGCTGACCAATATTAATATTAAATTAGACTGAATCATTGTTCCATTGCATACTAAATATGCATTCAGCTTACAATAACATATTATAACAAAAACTATTTAACAATGGTCTTGGTAGCCGAATGGTCTGGAAAGGGTCCGCTTTCAAACCTGCTGGTTCGATCCCAAAAGTGGTAGATTATGGGCCTAAATGTCATTTATCATTGGACTATCAACAAAGTGATGCTGCTATCAACAAAAGGTCGATATTTAGTTAGCAACAAGACCAGGGGTTTGCAAGTTCCCTTAAATAAATAATAAAAAAAAAAACAATTGTTTACGGGTAGTGTATTCACAAAGTACATGTACAGAAAATATAAAGAGTCTTCCTTCGTGGTGTTTCACTGGGTTTGTTTGGGACTTTGTCCATTTGTTCTAGGACTTTGTCCAATTCAGCCTCGTATAAAGAGACTCCATTTATACTTTGAACACAATCTTGTTTGTTGCAGCCGACTATGTGCCTGTGTGCAAGAAGAGTGATCCAAACTTCGACCAATGTGTCATCAAGGCCATTGAGGTTGTGCGTCCTCACCTTGCTAAAGGTAAGTTTCTTAGTTTTTTTTTATGTTGCTGTTTTGCAGATTTATGTAGCCAAAAATAATCCTTGTGCTAGTTTCAATTGCTCCTCAATGTCGTGGTTTTCTTGAATAAGTTTGAGACATTTTGTATAGTGCTTCATGAGGAGGAAATATTTTTTATGTGAACATAAAGGAAGCTATTGCCTAGGCCAATGTTTTAGCTTCCTGTGGCTGGGTTATTGACCGTTCTTGCTCAAGAGATCAATTTGAAAGCCAATTCAATTGAGATAAATTTGAGATACATTTTTACGAAACCCTTAAAATCATTGTCAAACAGTATCATCGTCATGTTTACCACTCAGTAAACATTGGAAGTTTTAAGGTTTCCATTGATTAGAATAGAAATAATAGATGCCCCAAATTTGACCCACGAAGAACTCCATCCCAACAAGGAATTCTGAAGACACAAACCCGTAGACTAAAAACTGGGTCATATTATGCAGGTAAGACATTATATTGATAAACGAATCAAGGAAGTCAGTAGTTCAATGGAATTTAATTTCGATGGAATCAGAATATAATCGACATTATATTCTGTCGACCCCAATATAAGTCTTTCTAAAAGCTTGTTCAAAATCTGTACATCAATTCTACCAGAATTTTCTTTTTGCAAAAATACAAAGATAATTTACAATCCAATGTTTTGATTTCCCTACACACTAAATCAATAGACTTCATATTGCATAGAGTTACATGAGTAAAATCTTATCATTGCCCCATCCAAAGTCAAAAATCCGTCTTAAAATACATACTTAACACATAACTATTTCGGGTGAAATCCACAATATATTTAGTAGAGAGAGAACTCAAAAAGGCAAGCAATTATTTTGTAAGTGTGAATAAATGTATTATATCAAAAGCGCTCTGTTCTGCAGGTATTCCCAAGATGAAGGTTCCACCAGTAGAACCACTGGTGATTCCAGCTCTAGAGATCAACCGAAACACAGACGCTCTCCAAGTGAAGGCTAAGCTGACGGACATCCGAGCGTTCGGGGGCTCTAACTTCATCGTCAACAACCTCAAGTAACAACATGAGCTAGTTTGTATTGTTACTTTAGTGGCCTTAGGCTGTATATTTGGAAAATGTGGATCTAAATATAAGTTTTCTAAGCATATGCTTAGTTGCTTTTTACAACCATAAAAAAATCACCAATTTCCGACTATGACTTCTCACGTTTTGTGGCAGGACGGATCTGAACAAGCTTGCTGTGGTTGCGTCAGTGACTCTTCCTTTCTTGCAAGTGACGTCAGACTACGACGTTGATGGACGGCTCTTGGTCATTCCTCTCAAGGGAAAAGGGATCTTCAAGGGAAACTTTAGTGAGTCAATTTACTCCTTGTTTAACTAATGTAGCTGTAGCTACCGATAACCAGTGGTATGAATGTAATAAAGCGTGTTACATATTGGTGCCAACAATGCATTGACACAAGCAGCTGATCCTGTTCGTAAATAACATATTTAATTCATTGAGATCAACACTCTTCCGCGTTACATTAAATCATGATTAGGAAACAACGAAGTCTTCTATTCAAGGGGGATAAAAATCCGCTACCCCAATAATAGTAGGCTTGTCTATGTTTCATTGCTAGTCTTGTTTAATCTAACTTACATTTCAGATGTTATACACTAATGCCGGAATGAGTTACTATATTTGAGAGAGAACTGCAAAGACATTCTAGCCTATTTAGGCCCTAATAAACTATATTTTTCGTAATGCTTCGTCGATCTAAAAAAACTAATTAATTCACAAAACTAATATTTCGTATATTTTCCCCCTTTATAAATGATTATCCAAAGTGGTTGCCTTCTACTTAAGCTAATAAATGAACAGCAGTTGCCGTTATTCAATTGCATTAGCCTATGTATTACTCCACCAACTGTGCCACCAACACAACCACAAATTCACTTTTGGATTACTGAAATGTTTACACACTTAAACCTAACCAATTGTTGATAACTGAGCGTTCGTTGTAGTAAAATGTTGCACGATAATAAAGACAAAACATTTTTGTACCGAAATACGACAATACCAATGGACTATTTTCTTTGACAAAAATGAGCGGATGAATTTTAACGTAAAAGTAGACAGCTGATATCCTCATTTCCTAAATTATTTTCTGCATTTGATGAAAAAGCTTCTTTAGCCCCACAATGCACAAAAACGTACCGTTCTGTCTAATGACGTTCTGTCTTATGAGCAAAAAAGTATGTTACTTTTAGAATATAGACTAATAGACCTACAGTTTCTAATATGAATACATCATCAATAATTTCAAGCAAATAACTCTTCAAACTAACTTGAGCTTCTGTCCTCAGCTAATATCAAGGCTGATGTGAGAGCAACTGGCAAGCTGATCAAGAACAAGAAAGGGACTGAGTTCGCCCAAGTGAAGGACCTGTCAGTCAAGTTGAGGATCGGAGACCAAACTGTCAAGTTTATAAACAAGGGTAGTCGGGACACCGAGGCTATAAGTGAGAATGACCTGATGAACCTAGAGTTGACAAATCTTGCTTACTTACTTACTATATCAGGACCGTTATATATTGAGCAGATATTTAGCCGCTCCATCAAAAATCCTGCACCTTTCTCGATCTCCTGCGCCTTCCTCAGTTGTTCATATTCTCATCATTTCAACAATCACTTGGCCACCATTTTTATGTTATTTTGTTGTTGTTTTTTTGTACGTAATTTTCATTTACATCTGGATCATTGGTGTGTACAAGTTTCAATATAATACGTTTTAGTATTTTATATATACAGTATATCCTATACTCTAATACGAGCAATGTTTGCTTGTATGCTTGCTTGCTTGCTTGCACAAAGATCTCGAAAACGGCTCCGACGATTTTCTTCAAATGTTGTAAATAGTTCATTTCTGGCCTTAAAACGAGTTTCATGCAGTTAGAACTGCTAACAAATATCTAATTACGTAGAAAAATGAGACTGAAAATCACATTTTTTTAACATTAGTCTTATGGGTTGCTAGGTAACCATGTTGGCTGAATTAAATAACAAGGAAAAAGTAAACAAAAGACTTGAAGTTGTAGCATGTGTTCATAACAAGCCAACTACCCACAGTATACCAACAAATTACAAATACAGTACAAAAGGAAAAACATCACTTGTTAATATTGAGCAAAGATTATACTTAAGATTACTCGATACATTGTAGTCAAGGGTAGCAGTGCGAAGTCTAGGATCTGTTTATGACGAATTCATTAAGGTATCTGCAATCCTAAAATGCTATTGGAAGGGAAGGAAACAGGTCCGTGACGTAGGAAGTAGTAAAGGAAGTAGTAAAGGCAATCATAAAATGCTATGGGAATAGAGGGAAACAGGTCCGTGACGTAGGAAGTGATGAAGGAAGTAGTAAATGCGAGCAGTCCGGAGTGTGGGGACTGTTTATGACGATAAGATTAGGGTATCTGCAATCCTAAAATGCTATGGGAAGGAAGGGAAACAGGTCCGCGACGTAGGAAGTGGTGAAGGAAGTAGTCAAGGCGAGTAGTCCGGAGTGTGGGAACTGTTTATGACGATTAGATTAAGGCATCTGCAATCTTTAAATGCAATGGGAAGGGAGGGAAACAGGTCCGCGATGTACGAAGTGGTGAAGGAAGTAGTCAAGGTGAGCAGTCCGGAGTGTGGGATCTGTTTATGACCAATAGATTAAGGTATTTGCATTCCAATAATGCTAAGGGAAGGCAGGTAAACAGGTCCGTGACGTAGGAAGTGATGAAGGAAGCAGTAAAGGCGAGTTTTTCGGAGTGTGGGAACTGTTTATGACGATTAGATAAGGGCATGAGCTATCCTAAAATGCTATGGGAAGGGAGGGAAACAGGTCCGCGACGTAGGAAGTGGTAAAGGAAGTAGTCAAGGCGAGCTGTCCGGAGTGTGGGAACTGTTTATGACGATTAGATTAAGGTATCTGCAATCTTTAAATGCAATGGGGAGGGAGGAAAACAGGTCCGCGACGTAGGAAGTGGTGAAGGAAGTAGTCAAGGCGAGCTGTCCGGAGTGTGGGAACTGTTTATGACGATTATATTAAGGTATCTGCAATCTTTAAATGCAATGGGGAGGGAGCAAAACAGGTCCGCGACGTAGGAAGTGGTGAAGGAAGTAGTCAAGGTGAGCTGTCCGGAGTGTGGGAACTGTTTATGACGATTAGATTAATGTATCTGCAGTCTTTAAATGCAATGGGAAGGAAGGGAAACATGTTTGCGACGTAGGAAGTGGTGAAGGAAGTAGTAAAGGCGATTAGTATGGAGCGTGGGAACTGTTTATGACGATTAGATTAACGTATCTGCAATTCTGAAATGCTATGGGGAGGGAGAAAAACAGGTCCACTACGTTGGAAGTGGTGAAGGAAGTAGTCAAGGCGAGCTGTCCGGAGTGTGGGAACTGTTAATAACGATTAGATTATAAGGTATCTACAATCCTAAAGTGCTATGGGAATGGAGGGAAACAGGTCCATGACGTAGGAAATGGTGTAGGACGTTGTAAAGGCGAGCCGTGTGGATCTTGGGAACAGATTTATGTATCTTCGATACTAAGACTGCTTTCAGAGCGAACTAATGATTTTCTCCGAGCAAAGCTCGGTCCCCAGGTACTATATAAATAAATAGATTAACCCCCGCCATAGCAAACCTGGTAGACTAAGCAAATTTCCATTTACCAGTATTGGATTTTCATTTAAATCTATTTAGATTATCATTAAATAACATTAAGTTTAAAAAGTAACTACGCTTGCTGCTGCAGGAAGGGTAATAAAGTGTTTTTTTTTTTTTTATATGAATATAAAATAAATAAATTTACCAAGTTTGATAAAAATATATCCATAAACAAGTTACAACAGTTAACTTTCTCCGTAACCAATAACCGCACAAAAACACTTCAGTATACTAAATTATTTGTCTTTTTAAGCTCTTTAAAATGGTCTAGAGAGAAATTGGGATTTTTTTTGTTTTTATGGTGAAAAATGAGAAAACCCAAATTTTACCTCATAACTCCCCGTAAAACCCTGTTTTCATCGTCCAATCATGCTGGTTCACAAACTCGTTCAAGTTTATCCCGCCTTACACCTTCAAACCAAATTTCATCAAAATCTAATATAAATTACTCAAGTTATCGCGTTCACATCTGTATATTAATTAGCAAGCATGTTTCTTTAACACCTTTTTTCACAGCTTATGTGCATCGCTACTTAACTACTAACTTCTACCTCTTCTTGGGTAACTATTTCTTGTACCTCATCTTTTAATTGTTGGCACTCTAAAGACCTTCTTGTATACTGGGGCTTTTTAAAACAACAATGCACAAACACTAAACTTAAAATAACGGTGCTATTGAAATCTCTTTTAGACAATTGGATAGTTTTCGAATACAGTATTCAGATTGATTTATCATAGGCTACAATTGTTTAATGCTAAGTGAATATAATAGTACTGTAATTTTGTATAGCTTTGACATCTTAAAATGTGTTGCAGCTCAAACAGCAATGAATTTCTACAACCAGAACAGACAGCAAGTATTGGAGATTATCATGCCCATTGTTGAAGAAACTACTGTGGCGTTCGCTAGGCAATTCGGAAACACCATCTTCAGAGCTATTCCGTTTTCTGAGATTCTCCCCAACTAATAACTATTTAGCCGTGTGCTATGATGAAGTTACCGTCTAACCAATATATCCTAGTGGTGCTTAAAAACTGTGGCCACATGGCTTCCAGCTTTAAACAAAATGTACCATGTACTTAATAAGAATTACTTGTAAATACTTAGGTGTATTAAAGTATATTTAAAGAATAAGAACGAATTTTAATACATTATTTATTACCGGGCGAGTCCAGTAAACACATTTTGGACGAGTGACGTTCGATTCGATATTTTAGGCTACTCTAAGCTAACAAAAAGTCCCCGCTGACTAAAAGACTAATAATCATTACTCATAACCTCAAAGATAGGCTATGTTTTTTTTTTTTATAATCACTCATTGCCAAATATAATCAGCTGGTTGGTGTCCGGAGAGATCGATGGTAAAAACTTGGGAGACGGAAGTCTTGCCATAATCCTACCCGGGTACTGTTGAAGCTAATCGCCTGATTTAAGGCCTTTCCTGTCAGTTGAGGGGTAGCAAGCGCGACAGGGAAGTAAATGCGAGATTGACCTCCAATTCCTAACCTAACAAGTGTTTTGATTTTACGTGTTGGCAACAAAAGCGAAAATCTTTAACATATAAAACTAAGACAACGCTGTTGATACAACTATTTTTTCTGATGTAACAACAGTGGTCATAGTTTATTTCGTTGAGTCGTAAGTTAAGATTTATTGAAATATTTGTCTATACAAAAGAATATAATTACATTTTTGTATGATATTGGACAAGTTTTCTTCAAATCTTGACTGCAAACGTCATTTACCAAATACCAATTATATAATTTCTGGGTTAGTAACTAATGTATAAATACAGCCACATCTAAAGCATCTGTAAATCAATGGTTACACACAGAGCCACCATTTAGTATTTTTTTTTAATATCCATGTTACTTAACATTTTAATATTTAAATACATTTTAATCCTAGTATAATTAGCTTTTGCAAAAATGTATTACAATTTACAAATGTAACATTCAATATGGCAGCCATTTAAACATTTTTAACAGTAGTACAGTAACGTTAAACCTGTAAATCTTAAAATAAACACAAGAATGCTTTTCACAGTAAATTCTGCAACAAACGTAATGAGACATCAACATAGAAAATCCAATTACAAATTGGAAATATGGCATTTTTTGTGGTGCGTGCCTAAAAAGGCGTATTAGAGCGTGCGGTATAAGTACTTGTCTGCAACTATGTGACTATCACCAACCAATACGATAGTTTCATAAGAACTAAATATATGTGTGAAAAAAACAGTCATTCTTACGTCAACCTAAAAAGAATACCTAAAAAACTATATATATATATATATATATATATATATATATAAAATTAAAATACCGTCATTAATACATTACTAGTGGCTTGTAGGGGCAATAGCCCCTTTGGATGAATAAGATCCCCCTCTAATATTTTTGTAAGTAAATATACAGAGATATTCTTTTGGTGGTCTTACAATCTTAGCAGGAAGTTTAATTTTTTTTATTTTAAAACTTTTGAGTGTCCCCCAAAAAGGGGGATTTTGGGGGCAACTCAAAACTCTTAAATGTAAAACCTCTTCAAGTGACACCTCATTTTGAAGTGTTTACAAAAACTTGAAGAATGGTGAAAACCAGAGTTCACTATCTCTCTTCTGTCTAAAATTGTAGCCAATATTACAACTACGAACCAATATTACCATTGATTTTCCATAACATTTGACGGGCTACCATTTTGGACAGAATAGAGATAGCGAACTCTGGTTTTCACCATTTTTTACATTTTTGTAAAAACTTTAAAGTGAGGTGTCACTTGAAGGGGGTTTACAGTTAAAAATTTTGAATTGCTCCCAAAATCCCCCCTTTTTGGGGGACATTTAAAAATTTCAATATCATAAAATGAAACTTCCTGCTTATATTGCACGACTACCAAAAGTATATCTCTGTATATTTACTAAGAAAAATATTAGAGAGGGGGTCTTGACTTTTTATTCACCTTGTGTATATATATATATTCTAGTAATTATTTTGTACAAATTATTAGTCTCATGGGTTACCCTACCTTGAATTATTGTTTAACAATTTTGTATGTTATAATATGTATAATAGTTATTACATACCTGCATAAAGCATTTTTATGTCTGTTCTGTTTAAAATAAAAATTCCAAAGGACTGTTCATTAGGTGTGTTTATATAAACTTTCTAATCATAATACAACTATGGAACAATTTCAATAATAATCTTTATGACTATCAATTAAATATTCACTTAGATAAAACACACAGAGATAATGTCATCCTCCAAATTGTAAAATGCCACCATAACAAAATCTCTCTGAAAACAACATTTCTTGTAAAGTATCTATTTTGGTCGATTCCTTGTTCTTTATTTGGTTCTAGGACTATTTTAATATCATCTGGCCGCTTTACTCGACTAAAAGCAACATAAAGTTGACCATGGGGTAAACACTGGTTTTTTCAAATAAATGTCAACTTTTGTGAAGATTTGGCCTTGCGCTTTTATAATAAGTAATAGCGAAAGCTAACCACAATGGGAATTGAATCCTTTTAAACTTAAATGACATATTAGGATATGTAGGTTAGATTTTAGATGTTTGAAAAATATGTTCCCTTTACCAACTCCGGTAATTACTCCTAACTTTGCACTATTTTCAGACATACTTAACACAACCAATCGTACTCCATTAACTATTCCAGACCCTTAAAATGTTAAAAAGTAATAGTATATTACATTACTTTTATTATTACCATATGCTTACCATATGCTTTAAATAAAGTTAAACCACATGTTTTAAAGTAAACAAATCAGACATGACCTAGATTCCCATGCTATTTAAATGTAAACTATTTTATTCCAAAACAGCCTTTTGGTTCGTAATTAAGGAAAATTAATAATTTTCCACAAAATTTCATGCCGAGACCTAAAATTAGACCCCTCCCAGCTTTCTACGGCCTCCCGTTCGCTCACAATTTCATTGTAAAATTTTGGGCTTACGGAATTAGATATATAGAAGATATTATATCATCTTATAGGGAACATATGGAAAACCACAAAACTATAACTGAAAACATGGATGTTCGTTTGATAACCAAAGTCAAGTTTTTAAATTCAAGTAAATATAGTTCGGCCGCTTAGAAAACGACCTCCTCCAGCATTGGTTTAGCATTAGCGCGCAGGTCGTTTTCTAAGCGGCCGAGCTATAGTTTACTGTGCCTTTTCCTTTGTTTATTTTTGTTTGTGTTTTTGATTTTTTATTACCTTTTTGCTTTAGTTTTTGTTGCCTATTTTCTTTGAAGTATGTTTTTTTTGTGTTTTGTTGCTTTTTATAACTGCTGACGAGTTGACCAACATGTATTGTAAATATAATCTTACTAATATCATAGATAAAACATAATCCACTCCCTTAGTAGATTTCTCATCCTTATGGAACAGCTGAAGACAATTTTATTGTTAGTTCATGTACGGTTTATGTAGAGGTCGTGTTTTGTTTACAATTTGTTTCCCGTTATTACAGCCAATTAAAACCTCGTTTAACCAAATAATACGATCTAATCATAAACAATAAATTGTCCCCTAGTTATATAACCAAACAGTAAAGCACAAATCAAGAAATTAACCCTAAAATAATGGAAACAAAGTTTCATCGACACTAGCGCCTTTGTGTCACGCACATGAACTAGACACGAAAAACGTGCTTCAAAATTTACAATGGGATGAGAAGTCTACTTGTGTTGGTTAGTCTATGCTAATATTCTAAATGTGAAAGTTAGAGTGTTTGTTTGTTTGTTTGTTTGAAGTTCAATCACGCAAAACCACTGGACGGATTGGGCTGAAATTTGGCATGATGATAGCTCACATTCCCGATTAACATATAGGCATATTTTTATCTCAAAAATCCTTTCGGGTTCCGCCCCAGTGGCTCTGTAGTTCCCCGTGTTAAACTTATGAGAATTCATATCTATCTATATAATACGTGAAGCCGTTTTTTGTTAACGCAACTCCTCCCTTATTTGTGGACCAATTTCAACGTTTAAGGCGTCAAAAGATTTGTCTCAATATGTAGTTTTGCAATAAGGTTTTAGAACTTTAAAATGTCTACTCTTAAGGGCGCGAGACCCTCTCAAATGTCGGGTTTTCCTCATAAAGCTGGGTTTTCCTAGACGCGGAGTCGGCCAGCGGAGAGCGGACAACAGAGAGCGGACTCAGCTTGTCTTAGGTAATTTAATGTTACTGTTTTCCTAGCAGCGGAGCGGAATGCCATGTTAATTTCAATTCCGCTCTCCGTTGTCCGCTCTCCGCTGGCCGACTCCGCGTCTAGGAAAACCCAGCTTAAGAAATACACAGAACAAATTTAAAAACAAAAAAACAGCTGTTTATAAAAAGAAACTCATTAGCTTTTGGGGAGTAAATATTAATGCGTGTAATATTCAGTAGGTTAAGACCAAGTTAAACTGTAATCAGTTTTGTTGGCAGAACAGAAAATACCTCAAGTTCAAAGAAGATATATTGAAAACGGGAGGAGGAGACAATTAATAATAAGATATCTTATGCGTATGAAGAGATTAGAAAAAGTGAAGCCTGGTCTAACAGATACCCATGCAGATACACATTCACTTGGTGAGATGAATAGGTAATATTTGACAGTTACTATGCAACTTACTTTGGAAGTGAAAAAATATACGAAGTACATAGTATTTTCACGGTGGTAAAGTAAACTTGCCTAATCACAGATCAAATGAATGCATGCAAGAAATGTTTACCGCTGACACTGACAGATCGAGAAATTTCAAAACATTTAGTAGAAACTATAATAATGCCTTGACTATGATAAGTTCATGTAGTAAGATTATACCAAATCTTGGTGGACCTTATGTGTTTATTGTAAACTTTTGCATTACTCACTCTACTTCAATTGAGAAAAACGCAAATGGATTGTTTACTTCCAGATTATGTTGCCCGTATCTCGGACAAACTTATACAACGTTTTTGGACTGAATTCGCCAACACAATTCAGACATTTCAAGTAAAAAATAAGAAGTTTCAAAAACTCTTTTGCTATTGAAAGTTTTAGTGGCAATATTAGACGAAACATAAGTGATGGAATTAGTGTTTTGTATTTAACGATCGAGTAGTCACGGTCAAGTTTATTTTTATGATTCAGGAGAGCCAAATAATATACGCTTTTCGAAAAGATAAAATGAAAATTGATATCCAAGTTTTAAAGCTACAAGACTTATCCAACCTATTTCGACAAATGAATCCATACTTTCAAAACTTTGGGACAGGTATTCAAAAAGGGATTCCACTGAACAACGTGAGAACGTTCTAATGCGAGGCACATACTGTGACTGACAGACAACACGTTAAAATGCGTTAACCAAATTTCAATGGTGTGGCTGCTTTAGCCTATTCAAAGCAGATTATGGCTGTCCAGTTGGTAACCCAGAGTTTGTGGGTAAAAAATGGAGTACATGAAATGGTTGATATCACCCAACTTTTCAGGATTCTCTACGGAGAAAATTTGTTTGATTAGAGGGAAGTCTCAAATCAAAGAAATAAAATGACCCAAACTTAAATTACTTAACACAGGCTATCAGTAAGGCAACAGTTTTCTTCAACTCTCAATGCTGGAAAAACTTTGTTGTAACATGTTAACTCGAATTGAAGCATATAATAATTAATGTATAATTAATAATGTGTAATTAATAATAATTGATGATTAATAATTAATAATAATGATGATGATGATTAATAATAATAAATCGATGATTAATAATTAATTAATTAACTTTGTTAAATAATTAATGATCGTTTAGCATTCATTATAAGTTATCAGTTCAAACTGAGAGCAGAAATAATGTAGGTGAACCTTTTACGACGCAAATTGAGATATTTAAAATTAGTTTCTAACAAGTTTTCAAACAACTCTAAGATGTAACTAGAATTACTCGAATTTAAGCATAACGTTTTCCTCGGTGTTATGTTTCATACTATGCGGCTCATTGAGCCGCACGGGTGCTCTAGTTTAAAGGGAATTAATGAATTTAGTCAGGTGTTTCAACTAAAAAGTTGGTTCTATGATATACAAAAGCATTAAAAAGTTATAACATTTACCAACAGGGTGCAGCACTATATTTTTGCATTTATGTAAACAGCTAATTTTAACTAAGCAGCAACAAAAAACTGTGATTCGCAATGAGAACTAACTGTCAAAGTAGGATTCTTTACAGTTATGTTTATGTTTTTAATGTCATGAATAGTTAGTGACTTTTTGTGAATTTAATTTATTTTTCTTTATTGTTTAGGTGAAGTGGTAGAACATTATGGCTATGGTAGATGTGTAATACCATAGTATACCGTCAATTTAAAGAAGCAAATGTTATCAAACTTTGTCCTCTCCCATTGCAAATGCAAAGCTTGCGTATAACTGCAATAAGCATCTATTATATTATTAAAGTGATACAATCAAATTTTATGTAAACGGTTTAGGCCATTTACCAAATAAAAATACAGGCATACGGCACATCAAAATGAAGCTTAGAGTGTGTAGATTTGCCGAAAAGCATTGATATGGACGAATTTCTGTAGGGCTCTGCCCCACAGGCTGATTTCCAAAGGGCTGCGCCAGGCATGCTTCCAAAGTTTACATGAATTAATTTAATTTAGTTAATGAAACAGCTGGTCAGTACAATGAACTGGTGTTTGTTTATTTACTGGAAAAAGATGTTTGTGAAGCTTTATGTAGATTGAGGAAGGTTATGTTTGGTTTTAAAGAAAGGTTGTATACGTTTTGTACAGTATTGCTCAAAGTTTTATTTTGTAATTTATATAGTAAGCTAGGGTACATGCAAAGAAGCTTGACTAAAATTGATGAATTATGGTAAAACATGTCATTATTAATGAAGCATCTATATGAAACAATTGATGTTATTGCTACACTAAGGTATGTTGTCACATTCTTATGGATCTATTAACATTAAAATAGGGTTTTTTGAAAGTAAGTAGGTTTACACTTTTAAATCAGTTTATATTTTCAAACTAAATCATAGAGCAACTATTTTAAAACACACATCAGCACC